AGGCATGACCAGTTAAAGTTGAAAGCGTCCATTATTTCCGCATCACATGACTTCTCATCTATAAAGTTCGCTTCATCGTATTTCACAGCATTCGAAAACCAACTTCTTATGTAAAGTAAAAAAAATGCCCACCATTAGAAGTATAAGACACGCCAAGAAAATGTGCACTTCTATCGACACTGTGACCAGTCATTAATATCGTTTTAGAGGCGCAAGTTTCTAGTAAGCACTGAAGTCTCACTAATGAGGTCGTTGAAGGGTTCAAATAAACTACTCGAAAGTAAGCAAAGCAGGTTGAGGACAGGTAAGTGATTCACTACAAAAGTCCGACAAAAAAGCTTTGTGCTGCAAAATAGCGCAGAAAATGGCGCCTGGAGAGAAATTAGAGTGGTTGCTGGGTCAAGTCAATCTACGCGAACTCACCTTCGCAAACCGAAGAACTTTTATGGATGGTGGTTAGACGGAAACGAAAAAATAACGGAAAAACTGATGGAGTTTGAGAAATATGTGATGCCAAGTCATAATCGGGTTTCTTCAGGAAGCTTTAGTTATGGGAAAACGTATAAAGGTCTATCTGCCATTTGATCAGAGTAGTTTCCACGGTAATTACCATATTCTCTTCCAGATATTTTATTTCTATCAATCCGTGTATATAAGTATTGAAGCATATAAAATATATTAATAGCTAAATCAGTTGAAAAAAGCGTCTATTTCTTATATCAATTAACAGCGTGATAACAGATGTTTTAGAAAAATTTCTAACGCCTTCGAAAACTTGTCAAAACCTTACACAAATAGTTTTCATATCACATTTTTTAAACTCATTATATTCAAGAGAAATGAGACTAGATCTTTTTTCGTCTTGACTCTGCCACTCAGACGGCGTTCTGTTATCGGTGAATTACGCGACGAAGTAAATATGCTCACCAATTGAGACGAAGTAGAAGTTAAATGAAAAGTTGATAGTTGGCTGATTTCCTCTGAAAGGCACAAAACTATGCGACAATCATTTTACGAACTGTGCTATCGTATTTACATGGAATAAGCTATTTCTCTTCAAATTGTTCATAATTCATACATGCTGATGACGTTCATAATTACTGATTTGGAACGAAATAATTGAACAATTATGAAAATTTATGGGAGCTATGAACGTTCATGATTATTGATGGGAATGGGCAAAATAGAAAAAGTGTAGATATGTCAACGGACACTGATCGTACATAATCACCGGTGGAGAATAGGGGAAAGAAAAATTATTGAAATGTCATAGAACAAATTGCTTTCTAACTAACAGGTATACAATTACAAAAATTTCAGGGAATAGTGAACGTTCATGATTATCGATGGAAATGGGGAAAATAGAAAACGTGTAGATATGTCAACGGGCACTGATTGTACATTATCACCGGTGGAAAATAGGAGAGAGAAAAATTATTGAAATGGTCATTGAATAAGTTGCGTTATAACTAACAAGTATACAATTGCAAAAATTTCAGGGATTAGTGAACGTTCATGATTATCGATGGAAATGGGCAAAATAGAAAAAGTGTGGATATGTCAACGGGCACTGATCGTCCATAATCACCGGTGGAAAATAGGGAAGAGAAAAATTATCGAAATGTCATCGACTAAGTTGCGTTTTAGCTAACAGGTAAATGCCAATTTGGTGAATCGAAAAAATTTCAAGGAAAAACGGAACATTCCAGCGATTCAAACATTTAGACTACGGCAAACATCGCAGAACTGCGACATCGAACGCTGATGAACTGCTGCTTTGCGCTGAAGCAGAACGAATGGCTTACCAGTCGCGAAAAACTTCTCCAAAGTTTCTGCTTTTGATCTCTGCCAAATCTTGAAATGATAGGGTGATAGAATACATATTCTTCACGATGGATACATGAATTTCTTCAAATCTCCACGTTTTTGAATAAAATAAGATCTTTTACACATTCACTTTGTTCAGTGAGCCTCTAGCACAAATTTATTCGAAAACGTTTGCAATTTTTTCAACCTCCTTTTTAACACGTCTGAGGCGAAACGCATTGATTGCAATACGTGTGGTGAAGAGACAGCTCTGCTATAGGTTAAACCCAGTACCTTCCAATTTTCATCGACCACCTCATCTCTTGGAAAAGTGAGAAAACCTGTTTCTTCACTAGAACAGACTTTTTCACTACACCGCAATAATATTCGATTTCCATGAAAAGTGTTTTTCATTTTTGTCCTTGAGGACCGTACTTCGACAAGAAGGCAATTATTACGCATTTTCGGATCTCCTCGTGATGAGACCTAGTACGGCGCTAGCTTTTGCGGGCTTATGCAAGAGAAATTGTAAGGACTTTGACTTCTTTCCCAACTTTCGGAAAACTTCAATTCGGAGCAGATGTGATCTACAAGTAATGCTCTTGGGTGATGGAAGAGATCTTTTCTATAGAACTCCTGAGCCTTTTTTGTCAGTGATATCTCTGATAACCAAGAAGAACTATCTGTAAACAGCTTCATTGTGAAAGGTTACAAAATGAAATTTATTTCTTTGTCCTAATACAAGCTGACTCGACCAATCTCCTATAGAAGCATGGCCTAAGGTGACGACGTTACTCTTGATCAGATGATTTTCTCCTTTTTTAGAAACAAGGTCGCAAAAAGGAAAATTTTCATAGCACCTTCATGTAATTCCTGCCAGTCTTAGAAGACTTTATACTTCAATTGATTCACTATTCCTCACAATTGACTATTTCCGATGAGAGTCGCATTCCATGTGTTCTGCAATGGTAACATGCTAATACTTTTACACCACTTCTGCCCTACTCCACTTGAAGTAATCGAAAGAAGTCTTAGTCTATCTGTCCACAAGTTTCTTAGTGCGCGATTTTTCCAAGCTATTTGCAAGACTAATTCAAAAATAGTTTGTTTACAAACAAAATGCTTAGAATCTGGTAACGTCACTTTTCTAGGTGCTATTACTGTAGTGGGAGAATTATTGAAGATAGCACTATAGAAGAGTTCTTATAGCCTTCCTTCTCAGGTAACTTGACTGCGTACGAAGTCCTCCACTGGCTCAACGCTTCTTTTTGAAGGTGTGATGTCATGTGGCTTTCGAAGGCTGCAACAAGATGCTGCTCCTTAAGAATGTGGGCTGTAATATTATCGCGTTCTAGAGTTATGCCTTTCTGTGCTTTCTTTTAGAGCTCGGAGTCCACAAAGCTGGAGACTGAGCGGTTTTGCTCCGATGAGAATTTCGAGGTCCAGAAAAGAATTTATGGACCGCCAAGGATTATTAGAAAACTTTCCCGTCATCAACACTGCATCATGACAGAATGTAGTGATCGTCCTATATTTGTTCACCAGGGCGGGTAGCGGAACACAAAAGTTAAAATAATCTCGGCGGCACTTATTCCGACTAGATCCTTTTTCGGCTGTTTTCATTAACTTTCAACCTGCACCAATGAAAATAATCTTGTAAGAATTTTCTACATTTAGCAATTTATGATTACGTCTCATAAGCTTTGACAATAAAGCAATGAACACCAAACTTTTTAACAAGAAGTAATTGAAGTTGTTTAACAACACTATTCAATTGGGCATTTTCTTGCGAACATTTTGATAGACAACTTGCCTATAATTCTTTTGAGATGGGCTTGTCTTGTTTACAAATTCGCTTGCTGCTCATGTACGAATGGCGCGTAAGGGAAGATGCTTAGCTCAAGATTAATGGATCTTCCTGTGGACAGCCCGAGCACGACTGTTGCATAGACGGTTGTCTCGAACTTTAAACTTAGCAAAATACTTCCTAATCGTCTTTTCTGCAACCGTATCATCGTCCTTAGCTTTATTAATCGTACACTTTTCTTCACTAGCAACTTACCTTGCGCGCCATTCGTGCAAGGGTAGCAAGCGAACTTGTTATCAAGACAGCTCCATCCTGAAGCAAATACAGGCAATTTGTATACCAATATGTTCGCAAAAAATACACGATCGATAGTGCTGCCAAGCGATTACAATTACTTCTGGTTAATAAATTTTGTGTTTATTGCTCCAGTGCCCAAACTTATGAGAAAACCTAATATCACATTGAGTAAGCGTGCAACAGTAGAATCGAGCTTCAATCTCCTCCCTTTTTTGAGCATTTTCTCACTGATAATGATGCACGAACTCAACCTCTTTGTTTAGGAATCCAAAGCGAGTTTCGTGCAAGTTCTGTGGTCTCCGACAATTATCATGTACTGTTCGGTTATGTGTATTCACTTGCAAGCTACATAGTAGGCGGATTTCGCCGAGAATGTCTCCGTCATGCATGATTTTTTTCCGTTTTTTCATACTATTGTAGGATACTTTCTATAATTTATGGTCAAATGAAATGATGGCACGGAAAGCCGCAGCCAGTACAGAACTCAGATGACACTGAGGTGTCAAAGAGGCAAAATTTCTTGTATGTGCGAACATAATCATTACACAAATAAGTAATTGGAAAATTCTCATGTCATGGGCAAACTGCCTCAGCTCGAACAGTGAATTCCTATCAAACAAACGTGCTTCAACAGGATTCTTGCTTGACGGTTTCCACTCTCGCATTTCTTCCCGATCCCAGCTTTCCTGTCTTGCATTCATTTTCGCTGGCTATTCTCAATCGGGCGTTGTAGTCGATGAAGACGAACTCTGAAGGGAATTTTCGCTATATATGATTCTTGCGAACTTGTTTTGGAACGTGTCTAATTCGCTTCTATCGGCTGTAATGGTTGCTGAATGGCAGCTGCTCATACGAACTATCTTTTGACGCTAAATTTCAAAACCAGGATTAGCTAGACTTTCTGATAGGAAGGACTCCGTACACAACAACTTGATAGTAATTAAATGAGTGCACGACAAAGCCTTCGCCCCGCGTTTTGTGACTGAAACTTTTTTCACGAATGATAAGAGATCTGTTTATCGTCAAATGACATATATTGAGTATATCGTATAAATAAACTCAATGATGTAGAGTGGTGTGCCAGAACGTTTGCGTCAGGCGGGATTTGAACCCAGACCTCACTCTTTCCGGGAGCATGTGCTATACCATTGCATTTCCGACACTCGCTTGTACAGAGAGTAGAGTGCAAAGCGAGCGTCGGTAGTGCAACGGTTTAGCACATGCTCCCGGAAAAAGTCAGATATGGGATCAAATCCGGGATGACGCAAACCTTTTTGCACACCACTCTACATCATTGGGTTTATTGCAAACATCATAACACCGCAATAGGCGATCAAACAAAAATGATTAATAATTGATCATATCGTTTCTGCTCACGGAAAATTGATGCAGTCAGCTTTAAAAAGAGCATATATGTTGCTGTCTAAGGGTGTTCTATCATTATACATACAAAATATAAAGTAATATCCATGACGTGTCTAGACTGCATTCGTTCAGTATGTTTTGAATAAGATCCCGTTGAGCCTTTAAATTTGATTCGTTCTTCTTGGTCGTTCTATGGTCTAAATGACTCATTTTTCTCTAATGCATTCTCACTGTTGTTATAAGCAGAATTAAAAGCTGTTCTAAAAGTAAATCCTCGTGTAAGGTTTAGGTTACGCAAAGATGTCCGGAGAAATCAACCAAAGATACTTTTATGAGATCTCGGATGGAATCTTTTCGGAGACGTTCCAGCATCAGTGCATTTCCAACTTACTCGGCTCCTCGCAGCACTGACGTGTTTTTAGAGTGGTAACACCTGCTAGCGCATTCTATGACATGAATTTTTGGGGTGCAAGTATACCTGACCATTGTGAGAGTACGATACAAACGCTTATAGCTCACGACATCTCCTGAAGAACGACAATCCTATTCAATTATATTGATCTCTTCTATATCCCTAAGCCCATAATTATTTGTCACGCTTTTGAAATAGGGACGAGGTGGCTTTTGAAGCTTTAAATAGCGTTTATAACTAAGAAGAATCACGACACAGGCGCTCATTAAGTGGAGAGTGGAACTTACAACATCATCTAGTATCAGCAGATTTCTTATTTTCACGCATGGCTGCAGAAAGCTCTAGTCAAGTTGAATACACGTTGAGTGGTTTTTCGTCTGTTTGACCCAAGCTCCACTGATGCTGCCCCCTTTCATTGTGCAAGTTCGTTTATCGTCTTTCTTGACTGACAACGTTTGATGTTAATCTTCTATTAGAAAACTGTTCGTCTTGCTTACCACTGTAAGTAGATAGCATATTTATTACTTCCCGTCTTTACGTGACCCATAATTCTCAGTTTCAAAAGTTATCCAAAAATTAGTGCTGGATTTGTAGTTTCACCAGTCTTCTGTATTTCAGCAGACCTATCTTCCCAAATGATATATGTTGAAAATTGAATTTTATTTAGAATTATGTTTGAGTAAAAAGTGTCTTTGGCAAACTTTGAAGATCGGATTTCAAACCACAAAATGTCAAACTCGGCAAATTGTGTTTTATGACTTCAAACTCGCGCATGCGTATTAATAATTGCTCGTAAAAACGAGATTCAGCGTAGAGAAAGTGTAGCCGACGCATACTACTTTGCTCATGAAACAAGTTCTTGTGACGTATTCTATTTAGAGAATGGGGAGCCCGTGGATCTCTTTCCAGTTTGCATCAACGACTCGAAAATTTCATGAAGGTGAGTACATACACAGCTTTTCTACAGCTTGCAGAGAGACTCAATGTAAGAAATTCAACTGTTTCGGAGCACTCAATAATTTGGAAATTCGAAACACGAGACAAATCGATGAATGAAATAGCAATCAAGAATTCATTGTTTAGAGGTATAATAGGGCTTTCTATCCAGTCAGAACGACTCATCTCTCGATACCGTTCCATGTTTGACTAGTCTAATCCAGCTTGCCGTATAAATATGAACGAGACCATTACGGCAGATCCCACGCTCAGTATGTCGGTAAAATGTGCTGGGAATTTCAACAGTGGTGCACCGCTTTGGCAAACAATAAAGGAGCGTGCATCTCTACAGATATACGTGACAGTGAAGAGCTTGATTAGATTGAACAGCTCGGCCTCATCCACCACACTCTCTCGATTTCTCGTCTTGCGACTATCACGTACTCAAGCATCTCGGTTACCTCCTATACGGAAACATTTTCCAAAATAGAAGAGAGATTGAAACTGTCTTCACTGATTTTGATGCTTCCAAGATGAAGAACTGTTTGCCATGGCTATAAATAGATTTGTCTCTTGTTGGCAAAAATGTACATGTTTATGGCTTCTTGGCTATATTGTATGGGCTAGAAGTAGTAAGAAACACATGTCCCACACCTTCGCGTCCGACTGTTCTTGTAGACCTCACTCGAGACAATATAATTTTGATAACATACCTTGAGTCTTTCATGACGTCTGTGATGACACTTAAACAATGCTGGACACTAATACTCGAAAATTCTAGTGTTTTACTGCATTATTAGGAGTGTTATGATGTTTTGTAAATACATATGAGAATTGAGTGGTGAGCAAAAAACAAGATCTCAGGCGGGAATCGAACCCACATTTCATCTATACCGAGAACGCGTGCTACTACCACTACAACGCCGAGACATATTTGCGGCATTACGACACACTATTCTGCTCACCAATCAATTCTCTTAGTTCTAGACACGTATTTCGTCATTGCAGTCTCATGATGCTCGGTGCTTTTCGGGTCAGGCAATCCTTGAAGGAGGATAAATTTCCACATATAAAGGAATCGACGCTAATTCAATTGGCTGAGGCTGTAATGCCGAAACACGTGTCTAACGCTGTATAAGTGTCATTACAGACCTCATGATAGGCTCAAGATATGTTACGAGTTCCGAGATTACGAGTTTCAACGTACATGCATTTTCACTTCAATGATTTCTCGCCCTATAAGTATGCTTCCTTTGAGTTTCCCATATCGGTAGAGACTTCAAAGGGAAGAATGGTCTTGAAAATTCGCTTCCATTGGTGACTTGGGATTTAGAGCGCGAGTAACGGGTGCGACACTGCTGAAGCAGAGCTTCATTGCTTATAATCGGACGCAATGATCTCGGTAGGTAGTGGTATTTGTGACCAATCTTCATGAAAACATCTAACGGAACATTGTCTTCGTATAGGTCTAACGGCATTTCTATTTTAGACTTTTGAGCTGCTTCTTTTGGTTCTTTTTCTGCCTATACCAATATGATTGACCTCAACAGTTTTTTGTGGAGTAAATATATTCATCAACCGGGTTCATTGCAGTGTAATAAATTCTTCGCGCGGTGTTTTCTCTTCCCTCGCTAATTTCTGGTAACGATTTCAAAGGTTCCAATGTAATCATCGACTGTTTTGAAAAAGAATGGTCTCGAGCAGAGTGTGAAAATCTTTTATGAAAGAAAGTAATTGGCACTAAACGTGTGAGGGACGAAACCGTTGACATTTCACGAAATCTTTTCGGTATGAATGAAAAGATCCTCATCATCTCATTGATATATGCCGGCGTTTTTACTATACTGTTCCAGACGCCAGTTTGTAACCTGATAGCACATTAAACTTCGATTTTTTATGTTTGCCTTGCGCGTTCATGACTTATTCAGCTGGAATTTCCATTGCCTCTCAGTGAATTATTTTATTTTCGCTATTTGTAGTCTAGAAATCATCAAACTATTGCGATCTCAGGTTGTAACGACAAGGACTGCCAGCGCTATAAATCGACTTATTCAATTCTTTGCGTAGATCGGAATTCCACACCAAGAATACAGTGTCCTCTCATGACGAAGTAACCCGGTTACATAGTTTAATGTAGGTAAAACTCTAAGGATGCTTTTCTTAAGTTCTCTCAAAGCGAAGATTAATGATCATAATGTAGTAAAAAGTTCATAGGGATATTTACATTTCATAAGAGTCTCTGTAAACGACAAGACTGTGCTGTGGCTTGGCAACAATCCTGTGCAAGTCCTAACACCTAGTTGATTTGTTTATAAACCAGCTTCCAGTTCGAGGAATCGTTTCTCCTCTTGCCACCTTCTGCCATTCACATCGCTTTTATCAATTTATTGTCTTTGTATTGCGATGTCAAATGTTCTATGCAAGTTTCTTGTTTTGCTTTATTGAATTCTCTAAAATTCTTTAATAAAAATTCTCATCTTTACTACACTCTCTCTTAGAACAAATTAAATTTTCTCTCTTCCTCTCGCTCTCTCTCTCCTCTCTCTCTCTCTCTCTCTCTCTCTCTGTTTCTTTTTTTTCAGTGCACTACATAGGTTGCTTTTATTAAAAGTTATTAAGCTAATTTGTTACTGTATTCTCCTGCCGCATCGCGTCGGTTGGTTTTTAGGTCGTTCAAGTGCTAAGTGCAAAATTACTAAATCGTTCATTCCACGACAAAGCTGCATTAACTAAGCAGGAGATCGACATTTCCTCACAAGATCCGAGAAACCTGGTTCATCGTCGAGCCTATTCATTCAGCAAAATATTCACTCGAATCGTCATTGTTACCGAAAAATTTCAGATTCATGGCTACAAATTTCTTAACGATCAGTAACAGATGCCATCCGTCGGTAGCAATGACCTATCTCATGGCAAACCACTCGCCTTCTCTATAAGATAGATTTTTCAGTAAGATATACCATTCATAGCACGTTGCACAGCAGACCATCCATCCTCTAACTCATAAAAACCTTGCACAGTAAGCGCTCTATTCGATGACGTCAGGAGGTGAAACGATCGACGAGAGGCAACATCCCAGGACACTTTGGGGTCGTTATAACGTAATCAAAATAACACGCTCATGGTGTGCCCTGAAAAAGTCAACTGCTCAGTATCTACCGCAGCAAATCGTCCTCCCATCGATTTTTACTTTTCCTGGCAATCATATGACATAAACGTTCACTTTATCGTCCAACAAAAACAAAAACCAGAAACAGTGGCATTCGGTAATATAATAACAGGACTCTTGTCATTCAAGAATGGTTTAACAGGGATTCATGACAGGGGGGGGGGGGGTAAAGAAGGCAATGCAGTTAAATGATTATTGGGATGTTGAAGACTGAATTCTTAAATTGAGTCGACTAACTTGCAAGGCTGTCTTTCCCGTGATTGCATATCGCTTCGCACTCA